GGTGGGCCTCATCCAATCAGTTGAAGGCCTTAAGAGAAAGACGGAGGCCCCAGGAGTAAAAGGGAATTCTGCCAGTGACTGCCTTCGAACTCCAGCTGCAACATCAACTCTTCCCTGAGTCTCCAGGCTGCTGGCCTGTCCAGAGATTTGGGGCTTGCCAGCCTCCACAATGATGTAAGCCAATTTCTCAAAATCTCTTTCTATTAATATATTTACATTATGTTATGTAAATTTTGTTTCCCTGGAGACCCTTACGACTATACTGTGGCATTAGTACTAGAACTGTGTGGCAGGCAGGAGAGGAGAGGTATAAAGGAAGCTGCTAGTGCAGGCAAGATGGACTTGGGGGAAATCGTTGTTAGCAATGAGAAGAAAGGCAGCCCGTATTATGTCCTGGTAGAAAGTTTGGCAACACTGCCACCTGTCGCAATAGAGAGAGTAGAAAATATACTTAATGAACGTGTAGGTTTGGTAAGGAGATTTCCAGGCGGAATGTTGAAAGTGCCAACTCTTACTTCTGTTTCGTTTTGTTTTGTTTTGTTTTTTGAGACGCAGTCTCACTCTCTTGCCCAGGCTGGAGAGCCGTGGTGCAAGCTCAGCTCACTGCAACCTCTTCCTCCCAAATTCAAGCAATTCTCCCACCTCAGCCTTTAGAATAGCTGGTGTTATAGGCGTATGCCACAACACCCGGCTAATTTTGTATTTTTAGTAGAGACAGGGTTTCAACCTGTTGGCCAATCTGGTCTTGTACTCCTGACCTTAAGTGATCTGCCTGCCTCAGCCTCCCAAAGGGCTGGGATTACAGGTGTGAGTGACACTGCACTGCCTGGCCCTACTCATTTCTTTTAACTGTTTCTGATAAGGTACAGAAAGAAAGAGAGAAAAGAATTCTTTATTTTTTAAAAGCAGAATGAAGAGCAAACATTTCCATGTGAGGATTTGTTGGGTTTGAAAATAAAGCAGTCATTCCTAGTCTTTCAAAGAACATCAAAATAAGAAATAGTCTTAAGGCAATTATCAAGTCCAGGGTGCTGCCAGTAAGACATGTTCACAAGGTCAAGAGTTCAGGGATGTGGTTGTAAGGGTGAGTGTGTGTGTGTGTGTGTGTGTGTGTGTGTGTGTGTGTGTGCAGGCACCCCCATGTTATCTAAAATATATAAAAAGCTCCCATAGAAGAAATAAATAAGCAGCTCAATAGAAAGTATCAAGTATCTGGACAGGAAAATCACACAAAAAAATAAATGACAAATAAACATAAACAAGTTGCTCAGACTCACTTATACTTTGGGAACAATTAGATGCTCTTTTACTGTTAAGTAAAATAGTGGAAAATATTCAGCAATGAAGAGATTGTGGGAAATCATCCCCTCTGATAGACTGATGATGGGGGAGTAAAATGGCACAACTATTTTGGAGGGCATTTGGAATACCTGGAATTTGGAAAAATCAAAATTTAAAATATGCATAATTATCCCCCTTTACTCAGCAATTTCAGCATTAGAAATCTATCCTACAGAAATACTCCCACATATACACACAATACATATATGAAGATTTTCGTTGCATCATGTTTCTCCCAACTAAAGTGAAAATTTCATGAGTGAGAACTTTGTCATTCACTCTTGTGTCCTCAGTAGCTAGATCACTGCCTGGGACATAGTGGCTGCTGAACAGATACCTGCTGGATGAATGAATGGGATTGAAAAGTTGGAAATAAACTAATTTCCTGTCAGTTACATCTAATTCATGAAATACTACAGGCCGTTAAAAGGAATGAGGTAGATCTATAGGAACTCACTTTGAAAGATCTTCAAGACTAGTGTTAAGTTAAAAAAAAAAAGAGTAATAGGCCGGGTGTGGTGACTCACACCTGTAATCCCAGCACTTTGGGTGGCTGAAGTGGGTGGATCACTTGAGGTCAGGAGTTCCAGACCAGCCTGGCCAACATGCAGAAACCCCATCTGTACCAAAATACAAAAATTAGCCGGATGTGGTAGCATGTGCCTATAATCCCAGCTACTTGGAAGGCTGAAGCAGGAGAATTGCTTGAACCCAGAGACGGAGGTTGCAGTGAGCTAAGATCATGCCATTGCACTCCAGCCTAGGCGACAGAGTGGGACCCTGTCTCAAAAAAATAAAAATAAAGAATAATTGTAAAAAAACATGGAAACAACATAAATTCCATTGTTGGAGGACTGAGTTACTGCATCATGATTTAAGTAAATAATACTAGGCATTCATTTTAAATGATTGGTCTTGATCTAAACTTAAGATTGTGGGAAAGTATCTGTGATAAAGTGTTTTCAAAAAAATAACATTTTGTGTACTTATTACATGTTAAGATTATTCTTCTTAATTCTCATAAATTCCCTCTGTGGTTGGTATGACATTTAAGGCTTCCATGTTAAAGTTGAGAACAGGGTGGCTCAGATAAATTAAGTAATTTGCCCAAGGTCACACAGTGATGGAACCAAGATTTAAACCCAAGCAATGTTACTCTAGCATTCACACTCCTAAAGCACCCAAGGATATGTTCTGGTTTAAGCATGTTGCCTCAACATACTCATTAATCCTATTTTCCTTTTCTTTTTCTTTAAATAGGGGCTCACTTTGTAACCCAGGCTGAAGTGTAGTGGCAGCACCTCAATTCACTGCAGCCTCGACTTCCTGGGCTCAGGCCATCCTCCTGCCTTAGTGCCCCAGGTAGCTGAGACTACAGGTGTGCAGCACCATGCCTGGCTAATTTTTCTATTTTTAGTAGAGATGGTGTTTCACCATATTGCCCAGGCTGGTCTTGAACTCCTGAGCTCAAATGATCCACCTGTCTAAGCCTCCCAAAGCACTAGGATTATATGTTTGAGATGCCCGGATGCTGTTTTCTATTATCATCCTGTTTCAAAACTCTCTAGACATAATCAGTACATTTTATAGTCAATATAGCCAGTTTTATCTTAGGAACATATATAGGCAGTATAGTTTAGTGGCTAAGAGTTCAGTCTCTGGTGCCAGTTTGGGCAATTTACTGAAACTCTACCTCAGTTTGCTTATCTGTAAAATGGGGATATCAATAGTAATTATGCCATATTGTTGTTAAAAGACTAAATGATTTGACAGTTTTAAGTGCCTGGCACATAGTAAAAACCATATTAGTACTAACCCATTTATATGTACATATATATATATATATATATATATATATATATAGAGAGAGAGAGAGAGAGAGAGAGTGTGTGTGTATACAGTACGAGATGTTTGGAAAGATGAATTCACCAAAAAATTAACAGGCTATATATACCCTGTTAACTGTTTTAAGTAGCTTCTGGTTTAAGTAAGTATTAATTTGTTAATATTTAGTTGAATATATATGCATACATGCATATGTATATGTTGAACAAATGTCTATATGCATATGTGTACACACACCTATGTTCAATACTGAGCTCGCATCCTGACAGACATAAAAAGCATAGAAAGTCATGTGATTTCTGTGGCATTTTGCTTGCCTTGTGGATGTGCTAACGGAGTTAACAGCGTGATTTACCAAAGGTGATTGGACATTAACCAAAAAAAACATTTTAACTGCTAAATTAAGATGAAAATAAACATGAGGTTGCTTTGAATTTCACTTCATACTTTACAGGGCAGCCTGAAGGAACGCCTTAACTTCTAGTTTCTTTCTCCATTATGTACCTAATTATGTGTAAACAAAACAACTAACGGGACACTGGGAATCCCAAGAGGTGAAGATTTTTTTTTCAACCAGGACCGTTGAGTAAGCAAGGGGAGGCGAGGGAGGCTTTTTCGCTCATTTCTTCGGATTGGTTAAATGCGGGGTTTTGCAATCGCAAGCACAGAGCATAAAGCAGCAGCTCTCCCTGCCTGTCTTCCCGGCATGTTCCGTTTTATATGCAACGAAAATGAGCCCTCCGGGTGAAAGCGAGCGCTGGGAATGAAGTCAAAACAGCAGTACCCCTAAGAAGAGGTTAGTAGCTGGGAAGGCTCATGAGAAACCTGGAAGGTCCCATAGAGTCATGTGGTGGTTTTTTCCGAGGTTTGTACAGATTCACCACGTTGCTGCGCCTTATCATCTAAGTGATATTCTCAGTTTTCAGAAACTGACGTTGTTTTGTTAATTACTTCTCTGGTCACATGCATTTCAGGCCGCGCAAAAAGAATCGGAGTGCTATTTTACATAAATCAATAAAACTAACTTCCGTGGTTTGGCCCTTCCACACCCTCCTGCTTGTCCACAGGTTTTGCAAGCCACGTAACCCAGCGTCCTCTGTAACCGTCTGGGGCACTTTCGGGTCAGAGACAGTGGGCGGAAACCCCAGGAAAAGTTGAAAATGCCAGCGACAAAAGAAAGAAAGAAAAAAAAGAAAGAAAGAAAGAAAGAGAGAGAGAGAGAGAAAGAAAGAAAGAAAGAAA